ATCACAAGTCGCGCACATAATATAAGCATCACAAAGGTCAATTCTATAAGGTGTCATTTGAACTTACATCATAAATTTTATCAGATCATCGAGTGAAAATGATATTATTCATGGCATAGTGACAAGAAAATACATTATAAGTTTACTGAACTTATCAAATCCCATTAATTGGATTTTCGTTCAAGAAACCCAAAGAAAGAACCATTTTATATAGAAAAAATACAATATACAAAATTTGTACAGTGCTCTTTAATGCATACAAACAGTTTTAACGCGTTTTATATATAGATACAACTGAAACTTCAACACTCATTAAGATAAAAAGCATGTCCAAAATATTCAAAGCAATGCATACGAAAAGTGCACATATATTGACGCATCTATAGTACATTTGATAGTATCGAGCTTACAAGACTTTTAAATGGATTTTCAAACGACTTCTTGAAAACAGCTAGCGATCTACATGTTCTGAGGGAGAATGGGCGGCTGTAACCATAGCCCTGCAGTTTATCTGTTGAAAACATCCGTAGGGGACCGTGCGTGTTTCGGAACAACCAATAACAAGCACAGCGTCAGACTGTGACATGAGTGATCTTGCTGGAACTCTGGTAGCACGTACTACTAGCCTGGAAAATTTCCAAGAAGGGTCTCAATAAGTCGTACACCAGAAGTTTGTACTTGGTACCGTATTCTGTCGGTGAAGGACTTAAGGGGTGTAGCTAGCCCTTGTTTGGAGGTGATCCATTTAGAGCAAGCCCTTGGTAGGAGGACAATGAGATGCAACATATAAGCAATGTTGTTGTTTTCATTTCTGTTCGAAAATTTGGTGGATTCGTCTGCTTACCAGCGTAAAGGCTGGTAAGCAGCCTATACTTCAAGCATACAACGTCAATACGTACAAAATGTACATGAAAAAGGGCCACCAACACTTTTGCGAGTCTGTCACTTCTATGCCCTAAGATAGATACATCAATATTATTCTGAACGCAATAAAGTAATGCAGAAGATTTGGAAGAGGGGATTGCAATTTTATAGTTAATCTGGGTAGTACTGTTTACGTTAACTGAAAGTGTAAATATATGGTACTCTGGTGTCGTTTCTAAACAACACAATATCGACAAATCACAAAATCTGGTAAAGGATGAGACCATATTTAGTTACATGGATGAGTTTATTTGTCTATATTACGATATCTGTGTGTTATTTTTTCTAAACAATAATGTCCTGCAATGCCGCAATTAATTATCAGTTTGCCAAGAGAAACATGGGGCAAATATGAACTTATAACGACAGTTTGGTTTTATTTGACAAAAGTCTGAACGGTCCACCAACACAATGTAGCTATACAGTGGAGATAAAACACGAAAGTGAAGCATATATATATAAACGACTTCGTTTTATCAATTAATTTAATCCTAATAGAAGCATTGTGCAATGGTACTCCCTGCCCAATCGTTCGTTGAAAATGCAACACTGCTCATGAGCACTCGCACAAACGATTAAACGGTCTTCAACAAACTGAAAGACTATTAGACAAACTACAGTATTTATAAAACGATCTTAGAATACAGAATCCCCACCTTGGGATGTGTTTGGATATCGATAACTAGTCATGCACAGCGTGACAGATCTGTTGCAGTGATAAGCTCCCAAAATTGCTCAAATGTTCTCCTATATTGGCCATCTTGTTGCAGCATACTTGTTACAAAATGATATAGTATATGTGTAGTTGCTGGTGGGTATTGCGTTTTCATTTTACATGTTTATTTAAACTCAAGCGATTATCTTTATTAAACGAATGGGTCATTGTGTTATTCAGCTACACACGTTTTAATTAATAGATTTTGACAAATGGAAATTTTGTTTTGTTTAAATCCTGTATTTAAACCGCGAATTTACAAGTTGCAATATTTAATTAAATATCAACACAAAGCCCATGTATTGATGAAACGCCAAGAATTTTTCTTCTTTCTGTGGTATTCCCTTTCTTCAGAACTAAATGTTGTCTGTTGAGATACGAATCGGGAGGTATTTTTTACCTGAAATAAGATCAGGAAGAATGTTACGGTTCAGCGATCACTAAATAACTTGATGCAAAACGAGAAGAAAATTGGATACAGTGAAATACCTCCTACGTTACAGTGAAGTGCTCACATTAGCCAGACTAAAATTATCGGTGTTGGGTAACGCTGAAAGCCATGTTATTTGTCGGATTAGTGAGCAACAATTTGGAGGGTGGAGATTTATAGGCAGCTGTGGTCCCACACGTCAGACATACGGTAATGTATCACTCGACACAACTCGGCAAAGTTCGTGCTAACATGAAGGGTATCGGAATAAGCCGCGGTTAGCCTATAGGGCTGGACATCAATTGTCATTACGTAAAGTGTCGACGTTTTTGGTGGGCATGCACGTGATCAGGAAAATCCCTTTAGTATGATTAATTGGACTGCAATTTAAAACTTAAAAACTTAAAAGTTACCTTTTTCTAGATTCCATTTAAAATAAAATAAAGAACCAATTGCGTCATTGCCTCAATTTGACACCCGATTTTATGAGAAATATAGTCGATTAACGCATTGATAAACCCTTTTTGGCTGGTAATATTATAGTCAGGTGTGTAGGTTTGAAGTTAATTATATTCTTTTAATGAATTTCTCTTCCTGGGTCAGAACCTCGGCATCCCTCGCTAACTTCAAATCAAGTTCTAATTTTATGTATCTCAGGTGTGATACTTCGGAGATATCTCGATTCAGATATATCTTTAAATTCATCAGATATAGAATCCCCTGTTAAATAATTCATATAATCCTTAATATATATTTCTTTATAACATTCAAAGATCTTTTGCTTATCTCAATAAAGTTAATATTTTTAACAAATTAAAAATATCTTTAAAACGTAGTTTTACTTAACCTTTGCGGCTTGCTTTTGGGTATAATTGATACGTTAACTGTTAAAGTTCCACTGAGACTTATCATAATGTAACAGTCTTACGGGCGTTATTTTATGTTTCTGGTTTGTTTAAGAATCAAGGAAATAATAATAATGAAGTGAACTCGTAGGTATGTTAGTACATCATATGAGGGTCTACGGGAGGTAACTCAATGCATTGATTTATATTACGTTGTTATCTTTTATTTATATTTCTTTTAAGTAAAACACAGATTTTAAAATTGTTTTCCCCTTTTTTACTTTACTTTTAATCTTTAAATTATTATCTTCAAGATTCATTTTCGGATTTTACATTTATAATGCCCGGTTACCTAAGGAGATCCGGAATAAGGCGGTTTTAAATTTAGTTAGTACATGTCTTTTCCGGTCTAGCTTTGTTGGTAATGTATTTTAATTTTCATTTCTCGCCTTTTTCATGCACAAATTGGAGCCATTATCGTCATTTGATATGCATAGTTGATATATTTGTGTTTGTTTAACATTTGAGATATATAAATCGACCAGACACTGCGCCATTGTTCGTCTGTAGGCCGATTTCACTCCGACACCTCCACGCCACATGTTGAAACATACCACACTCGACATAACCCAAGCGTGGTACATTGCAACATTGTGAAGTAGGTCGTCTTCTACTTTGTATCTTTGGCTGTTTTACACTTTATTTATGCGTTTCTTCACGTCGGTAGCTGTTGTCTATTATGCCTTATTTGTTTGATGTTTCTTATCAGAATTTCCTGATATTTTGAATGTGAGAATGGGTTATCTCCCGGCGCGGTAGGGTAAAAAATATATACAAAGAAAGAAGCTTTCTTCCTGCGGGATTGCTTTGTGGTTTAATCCAGTTTGAAACGTATCCGTGTTTACACAATTTATAATAAGTGAATCGTGATTAATCTTTTAAATAATACACAAACATTTATACATTTGCCGGTAAATGTGTTAACCACTAAACTGAATAAGAGCCTAGTGGTCTTGTTCAAATTACAACAACGGTTTGCATATTTTTTAGGTAAATACAATCTCGCTTTCACATAATTAGCCTGGGCTGGGGTCTGACATAACCCATAGAGGTTTCTGTATGTTACATGGTTATCTAATACATTTTGAGTAGTATAGCTCCAGACACAAAAATCTCACCAAATGCACCTTGTATAAAATACATATTTATTCTGATTGCCTTACATGTAGGGTCCATTTATATGGTGATATTGTTATATATAAACTTGACAGACAGCATATATATATATGCCTTATTGAGGAAATGTGGAAAATCTTGAGCAGCTGTGTGCTACTTAATGCTATTATTGATTTAAAGGGGGGGGGGGGGGCAGATGAAACTATTTAACAATAGCATCAAACAGGAATCATCAGAATATTATATAGTAAAAAAATAAACATTCAGTGATGATTCTGTTTCAATTCCCTGCTTTGCAATAATGATCATTTAATAACTGATCAAATTATTAACACTTATCAAGACTTTTGAGTGTTTGGCATAACATTTTACATGTTGATACTTCAAAAAGCATGAATTCCTCTGTAGATATATCACATACCCTACCCTGCCCTCTTGTGTTTAGAGATTCAAAGTACCTGTATATGCCACCTTGGGGGAGATACAGTTTGACTTCTTGCAGGAAACGTAAATCATGATGGCGTGACACGTACAGCATAAGTGTTATGATTGAACCATGTTGCACAGCATCAATGTAAAATTATCAGGCTTTGATCTTCATGTAGCTCTTTGATAATCTTCAAACTACAGATAACATCAGCCTTACATTTGGTCAGTTTTTGACATGTAGTTGCCTTGAGAGTTTGATTTTGGCTCTGAAAAATGAGCTTTGACACTTGGGTTTGAAGTTTGAAGTGTCTGTTTGACATGATTTGACCTTTTCAGTTGAGAGACAAGGTAATTTGACTTCCTGAACTTTGCTAAATGCAAAATAGCCAGCTGAAAAGGGCTTTCAATGAAAACCGTATGTCAAAAACCTTGCCATTGAATTTTGAAGATGCCTTAATGAGTATCGTGCTTTCCTTTGTAGCGTTGGCTGGCCTTTTGAAGCTGAGAGCATGAGCAGTCGTGGCAGTTCCTCTGCGGGAGACTTGGACTGTAAGGTGTATGTGGGGCAGATTGGGAGAGGAGCTGTGAAGGAGGAGTTGGAAGACAAATTTGGTTGTTTTGGACGTATTAAAAGTGTATGGATAGCCCGTAATCCGCCGGGCTTCGCCTTTGTGGTATTCTACAACCTTAAAGATGCCGAAAAGGCAGCTGAAGAAATGGACGGAGAGTAAGTTTGACATTGTTAAGTTACGAGGTGGATTGTGTTTGTCAATTTTTTCTTTGCAGTGGTTACCATTTACGGCATTACGTATTAAGTTCTGTTAGGTGACAGACGTCATTCCTTAACCACTCAGACAGAAATTCTGTCACAATTTTAATTTGACATTGCATCATGATTGGTCCACCATCGCAGAAAAAACAGTCTGACTGCCTCTGATATGATATTAACACGAAATAGCTCTTAGTGTTATAATTTCATAGCATAAGTTTGTAGGTTCACTTAAAGGCATGAAAGTATAACGAAAATGTAAATATTAGGGTATAAGGATCATACACATTGAAATATTTGTTGAAACCAAGCAGATTTCTCTAGACATTGAACCTGAAGCTGCTGATGTATTGTCCATTGTGCTATTGTTGAGTTAAATGAAAGTTAAACATATATCATTACAAGTGACTATCTACCTTCAGCTCACTTCTCTTCATATAGGAAAAACAAACTTATCTTGCACCTTCCAGAATTCAACTTGTGGTTGAGTCCCCTTCTGAAAAGATCTTGCGGTGGCTTAAAATTCTGCTTTGTTGAAGGAATATTCCTAACACTCTAGCTGACATTAATTTGTACACATTCAAATTCAATCTTATAAAGCAGGTGTTTATCGTTTTTGGTCAATTAAAAAGTTCAAAATCAGTCATTAAGACTCGAGGTCATGAGTGTAAAATTGTTTTTGGTCGAAAATATAGGAATTTGTTTCAATTTATAAAAGCTTATCTCAATTTCTCTCACAATATATGAAGTTCTGTTGCTGTTTTATTTGTTTATGTACAATTTTAATACCTGATTTTTTGTTATAGAATCATCAATCACAGAAGAGCACGAGTTGAAATGTCTAGTGGGAAGTCGAGATGGGGAAGTGCAGGTCCCCCTACCCGCAGGCGGGATAGCCGAGATGGTCGCGATAGTCGAGACAGTCGAGATAGTCGGAGGCAGCAGTATAACGGAGACTATTCCAGGTAGAGTATAACATAAAGGCTGATCTGGTGCTACCATCCTCGATACGCCAGTGATTACGCTCACTTTCACTCTCGGTACCCCTGGAATACGTCATAGCAGAATTGAAGGCTCGGAGTGCACCACCTTGTGGATGTGACAAGTAGACTAGTTTGATTCTTTGATGAAAATTAAAATAATCTTTTCAGTCGTGTAACTGTAAAATTAGCTGGCTTTTAAGTTGGGTGTACCAGTGACTCCTGTCTAACCTTAAAATGACAGGTATAAGCCTCAGCAATTGGTCAGGTATTTTTACCAGGGACCAATCAAATAGCTAGCCGCAGGCCTTCAAATTTACTATGACATATTCCAGGGGTGCATATAGGGAAATTGAGTGTAACCCCTGGAGTATCATGGATGGGTGCTACAGGACATTACTGTTGTTCTTATGGTTATAAAGTCATGTTGGGCATCGTTTGAAATTTTATAATGGACAATTGGTTACCATTAACTAACTGATCATTGATAGTAATGCATCATGAAATTCTCCAAGCAAATAAAAAAAACAATGCCTTGTAAGATTGACCTTCCTTCAAACTTCAAATAGAGGCCATAACGGCATTCACACTTTTTCAGCATTTTATTGTATAACATAAAGTAGTTTCATAGCTAAATATAGCAAATCATTCAGGGTACACTTAAAAGTCCTTAATCACTCTACCGAAAATTCCATGATATCTACACATAATTATTCCAATTTAATCTTGATCATGAATTCTGTAGTCGATTAATCAGTTTACTGGCCTAACTGACCAATAGTCGACAAATTTGCTTAATCTAAACAACAATATACTATTGCCAATCTATAGCAAACGCTATTGCCTTTGCAATCAATTCTGCTGTGTTAAAAAGTTCAAGCCCATTTAGAAGACTTTTATTCATATTTTGAAAGATTTACAAAAATTTTAAAAATCCTACTTTGCAATAATTTTCACATTTTGTGACTTTCCTATTTTTTCCTGTTATTGAATTTTGATAATTTTTCTGATTATTTGAGATATGTCAATTGAAGTGCTAAATTTACTTTTCAGGTCAAGGTCTCGGTCACCCCCAAGATATGACAGATACAGGAAGTACTCTCGAAGCCGAAGCAGGTAGCTATAGCAAAAGTTTTTTTTAACAGAGAAATTAAGAGTACTTAAGTTGCAGTGTATTTATTACATAAGCACAGTGATGTTATATAGTAAGTTACTGTTAAATTAAACAAAAATGTGAAAATAACAGATAGATTCAATATGCATGCTCTGTGATCAAATAGACATAATATGATTGATTTAAAAAAAAAAAAACAAGAGATAAAAACAATTCCTACAGACAATGGCATTGATGCAACTTTTAACACTCGCAGAAAAACTGAAACAAAGATTGCACATCCTGACACAAGAGTGACAACTGAACGAATCTCCAGCACACACAGGACACTATCAGTTACCACTCAGTGGTAGTGATGTATGTTTGCTACAGTTTCGTTCAGTTGTCACTTGTGTCAGAATGCATAAGCTTTTGTTTCAGTTGTAACTGTAGTGACAGAAATTTCTAAACATTTTTCTTCGGGTTGGTAAGTATGGATTATAAAAAGTTCTGTTTGCACAACCAATAAGAGTTTCTATGTGACGTTTTGATGACTAGTGCGGTATGTTCACTGTGACCACCTTCATCAGGCAAATGACCAGTGAAGCATATGCACAGTAATGTGTAAAATGTAGTGACATAACAGAAGCTCTTGTGTCTGTTGTCATCGTGAGCTTTTAAGTAATGTGAGTTTTGTAAAATAAAAAAAATCACACCTCTAATCTATCATGAAGTTAGAAATTTGAAAAAAAAACATGTGAGAAAAAATGAAACGAGCAAAGTCTTACTTTGCTTTGAAGATGGAGATAACACTAGTACTCCACTCATTTACATAGTATATGTACAATTTGAGCAGTGTAGCATTATATTGCATATTTTCTTTTTCACCTTTTGGAAAACTTCAAATACTACAAAGCATATGAACCTGTATTGGAAAGTATATATGCACCTGGAAAAAGGTTCAGTGATTCTGACAAGTTTTCATTCATATGCAAATCTATTGAAATATCTTTGCTTCTTGATTTGTATCATTTAAAGTGTTACATATATTTCTATAACAGTGGCTTTGTATTTAAGGTCCTATTATTTCTTTCCCAAGACCTAAGTGAGTCCTAGTTAAAACAGAAAAAAATGGTTTTATGTGGAGATAACATAACACTGTAGTGACGCATACTCACTGTAGCTTTTTGGCTGCTTTAAAAACTCTCGGGTGTAAAAATATCTGTCGAAAAGTGACAACAGTTCAATTGAATAAAGATTTGTTATGTGAAAATGCATTCATGGATGCATACTTAAATTCAGTGTTTGGGTCATAAAATGCAATGAAGACTTTTATAAAAATTACTTGAGAGGCGTACATCAATTATTTACTGATAACATTGTCTACTGCGTACACTCATACTATAATACACATGTACCAGTAGAACTACAGTTTGTACTCTATGATCCAGACCATATATGTATATAAATATATAGATATTTCATCTACTATCACGTCTGTGTAAGACACTTCATTCTTATAGTGTAGACATGGAATTTTCAGTGCCACCTTCTCCTTTCTTATAAAACAGCTATAGTATAAAATTCTATCTAAAAGCACTTCAAAGAAAAAAGAAACAATATTAATATACAATTATGAACTGAATCAACTCAAAATCATTTCAGGATTGAATGTCTGGCCCAATGTAAGCTACCTATTTGAGGCACAGTGATGTTTCCACAGAAAACCTGAATATTTCATTTGACAATACAGTGATAAATGAATGGTATATATCTATCTACCCCTTCATTATATTGCTATTATATTCATTAAATGTGACTTTAGGGGTGTCAACGGGTAAAATTTTTCTAGTTGTGTCGCCTACGACGGATGTCGGAAAGACACATAGGCGTTGCTTTTCCAACGGTGGCATAAACAATGTTAAGGTTTTGCGTTTAGCTCTGTTTCTGACAAAGCTTCACCAACAAAACCTCGATCATAGATGTAGCATGGGTAGTGGAGCCTACTGCACTAAAAACATTTCATTGATTCCTGCTTTTTTTGGTAAAAAACTCAAATTTCTTGACTCAACGTTAAGGTTTTGCATTTAGTTCTTACATTTTAGGCTGTTTCATTGTTAAGGTTTTGCGTTTAGTTCTTACATTTTAGGCTGTTTCTGACTAAGTATAAATGCTAGAGCAACCAAACTTGGGTCATAGGTGTATCATGGGATTTATATATCTGAATGCATTACACTCTTCGCTAGCATTTCAATGATTTCTGTATTTCTTTGCTAAAAACCTCAAATTTTTGGACTTACAAAAAAACGCAACGTTAAGGTTTTGCGTTTAGCTCTTGCATATTAGGCTCTTTTTGACAAAGTATAAGAGCTAGACCAACCAAACCTCAATCATACATGTATCATGGGTAGTAGAGCCTACTACTCTAAAATCATTTCATGGTTTTCTGGACTTTAAAAAAAATCAATGTTATGATTTTGCGTTTAGGTCCATTTCCTAATGTACTATGTCAAATGCTTATTATATTGACAAAGCTGGACAGGCGACACATATAATTACGCATAATTCTTGTTTTAACAAAAAGATTTTATTTTTATTTAGAGTTTGTGTATGATTCTGACTTGATGTTATGTAACGTTAGTAAATGCCATTTACACTACAGTAGTATGTTATAATTTTAATTTCAGGTCTAAATCGCCTTTTGAACACATCTATCAAAGCAGGCGGTGATGCTGTCGGGGTGTGTTAATGTGATTGAGGACTACATGTAGGGACACAGGACTCTACTACATAACAACCAGACACCCAGAATTCTACTGTGTTGTGTAACAAACAGGCAGATAGCTAATTAAACTATACATTTTGGAATGTGGAAACTAAAACCTTTTTTTTAAGAGAAGAAAAATCGCTGTAGATGTAGAATTTTCACCCAATATCATTTGACAATTCATCGTTTGAAGTTTGCAACAAGAAAAACATTTCACCTACATCTTTTGAGAGGTTTTTCTGAGTGGGTGGGGGACTGCTCTGTACATAATTCAATATTTTTGGATACCAGAATTATTATGATTGCACTTTATAAATTTCGAGTTCGTATAACTCGGAACTCTGATATGATTATATTTCCATTGTTGGAATGAATGGACGGACCTGTATCATATCTTTATTGTACCTAAATTCATTTACCCCTGAAGACACATTTGAACTCCCCCGATTCAAAGGTTGGAACAGTTCATTATGAAATTTCAGGGATAACTGAGTTAATTGTGGTTTGAGTATTTGTTTTACTGTACTTGTGTTTTTACAACTTATATACAAACATTAGATAACATTCAAAAGTACCAGTGATAACATCCCGGATGTCCTAGGTATACCTCGACCAGATCTCATCCAATCTATATACGCTGTCAACAACAATCTGCTATCTACAACCACTGAAAGCTCAAGACATCATTTTGTTTCTGTGACCTTCAACTTCATCAATTGTGACCTTGATTTCGTCATTTTTTGTCATCTGGCAACATATCATTTGGCATTTGACTCATTGTTTTAAAAATAGCCATTTGTGTCTTAGCAATTTATTTTTTTTAATTTTTTTTTCTCTCTCTTTCTAAATCAAAGTTACAAAGAACAGACACATTTTATGTACATACAATATGTTTTTATTATTTGCTGCATTTTGTATTTAAAGACTATGATCAGAAATCTGTATGAATGCTTTTTATGACTGTATTTCAAGGAATGAACTCTTTCAAAGATTGGGGGGGGCTGTGGTGGCCAAGTGGTTAAGGCGTCTGACATTCTGCCACAATGTACCACTATATCCCTCCACCACTGGGTCGCGGGTTTGAGGCCTACGTGGGGCAGTCGCCAGGTACTGGCCATAGGTTGGTGTTTTTTCTCCAGGAGCTCCAACTTTCCTCCACCACCAAACCTTGGCATGTCCTAAATGACCACAACTGTTAATAGGACGTAAATCACAAACAAACAAATCAAAGATTGGTCATGGTATGGCACTGCCATTTGTTACGGAGAATGAAAAAAGCAAAAGTCAAACTGTGACAATTTCCCATGGCTAGTACTATGAAAAGTCTTGCAGTTAATTGATTAAAAGATTTAAGGTCGCTGTTTTCAATCCTGTGGACGTTCAAAAGAAAATTTAAATTAAATAAAATACAAACATGTGAATGGCTTTCATGCATGAAGGTCACATTCAAAAATCAAGATGATATTTCTTGTTTTGCTGCAAACAAAATCAAAATGTGACCAAATTATTATGACTACAATGTTGAATTGCGTGTAGAATCAAGTTGATTTAAAGCACTCGAGACTTGACTTCATGGTAGATCATTGTCATAATGTGTAAGCAATAACTGATTTAGCATAACTTCGAAAGTAGTGAAATTTTAATGGGACTGACCTCGAACTAAAACTTACACTAGGACATATAGGTAGCAATGTTATGTTAAATCAGTTGGATTATTTGTTAAAAAATTACTCAAATTTTTACTAAGGATTTAACACATTAGCCTTGATGATCATTGTAAATCTCAATATATAAGCCTAGTTTATTTGTAGTAAGGGAGACAAATATTGGGTGTTTTGTTGAATGTGGGACCAGCATTTCCCAAGCTAGGTAAGAACGGCTAATGATGTATTGTACCTGTGTGAGAGATAGTTAAGCATCGCTACAAGTAAGATATGCATTTGTATATTAATATAAGTGATAGATCTGAAAGCAACATCTGATGAGAAATGTATTTATCAGTAGGTTCATTTTGGTCTGACACTTGTGTTAAATTTGTATTTCTATTTGGTTATCTCCCTTGACATAAAACACATAAAACAGCTATTCTCACCATAGTGTGGACTTAACAACAAATTGTTTGATGTGTTTAAAAAATCAGAAGAATTAGTGGCCAGTCTTTATGTTATAATCTACATTCCTTAAAAAAATAGATTGCATTTTAATAGAAATCTCTTCAAAGATTGCATGGAGTTGTGAAGGGATGGGATTGAAAAACTTTTGTTCAGCTCACAAATCTAACTATTTGTCTTTATTTGGTATCAAGAAAAGTATGAAACACATTTTTTTGGCCCATTGCCTCTTTCAGGAAATGTAAATGTTTCTGGTTCAAGGTAGCATTCGTGTTGCCAGTTTTAAAGCTCAGCAGCATCTTTCTTTTAATGAATTAACCTGTTCACCCTTGAAATTTCATAATGAACTAAACCAGTCTTCAGGGGTGAGCGAGTTAATGAATGTATGAACTATTCTGAGTTCAAATACTGGGCGTCAATAAATTAGTTTTCCATTTTTTATCCAAAAATAAATTCTGTCCTCATATATTGCTTTACCTTTGTCAGCCTTTGAATTTACCTAGTCCCTGAATTTGCTTATTTGTGTAAATGGCATAGGAGAAATTTTGAAAGTTGCGAAATAAGGATGGTCGTTAATAATAACTCAGGTTTTTGAAATGGGAATTTTGAAATGATTCATTGTTTTCCTTACATATTGAGAAACCAATTAAGGTTTCCCTGTGTATTGTGGATTTAAATTATAGTATAAACATAATTTAATGTCAAGAGATAAGCAAAAAATGATCATTTGACAAAAATAAATATTCCAGTGAATTTCTAATAATCCAAACCTATCAATCTCTGATCCAAGAAACTGTACAATCATGCGAGGTACAGTATCAAAATTGTGTAAATTTGAAAGTAGAGAGAATAAGGGTGTCTCACTGAGCAGGTTTTTTTCTTGGTATGTTTTTGTAATAGTTTCTCGCTAACAATCAGCAAGTTGATATCGTATATCTATACAGGAGGTCAAAGAGTATGTGCTCATTGTTTTCAAATGAAATGGTGTATCTAGCCAATGTAAACAGACTTAAGAGATTTTAGTGCTTAGGATTAGCTTTTATACTGGACACATGGTGGTCTGTTTTTAATTTGCAAATATGCATAATCATCGTCGATATTGGATTTTGCAGATATCTTGATTTTTGTAACAAAATCAAGCTTTCAAAGTAAGGATCATAACATTTCAAGTTACTGCAAGGGTAACTGAAATTCATATTCAGATGTAGTTCTCAAATAATCCATTTTGTATTTGGACTTGCATCCTTTGATAAACATACCCAACATTTGTCTTGTATGGCTTTTAAATCTTGTATAATACCATCTCATTCCATTACTTCATTAAAATAAAGTTTGAAATGTTGTATATAGCCTTGTGGTTTGATGTCGTCTGTTAATATCTGCTAATTGTATCCATCTTCAATGAAATATCTTTAGCGATCCCTGTCCTACTGGTAAAACACTCGAGAGTTACCGATTGTTTTTCATATAAACAGCTACTTCCTCTTAATGACACTTTGGATATAACTCTAGGGCAATTTTCACTTCAACAGTTGAACCGGTCAGACCACAGTTGTTCGTTTATTAAATAAGGTCAGACCTAGTATAATCTGATGCTGCTTTCAGGCGGGTCTTGACAAAGCCTTGCAAGGCCTGTATAAACATTTGCGGGTCCACAAGGATCTATACCCGAAATTGATATTCAACAAGAGGCCCATAGGGCCTGTATCGCTCACCTGTTTCTTTTGTTACATGAAACTGACAAATAGGTAACTTAAGACCAAATTTGGTAACTAGAACACAAGACATTTTAACATCTCTAAACGGTTCTGAAGATATTGTTGTTTGAAACTTAAAATTTTAATTTTAAACACACTTTGACTCCCGACTTGTACTTTAAGTTGACCTTTGACCTCATTACTGTTATAAAGAAAACAATTCACACTGACATACCCAAGTATCACGACTAGTCCAAATGATTCTTAGGATATTGTTGTTTGAAATTTTTAATATATTTGACCCCTGTGACCTTGAAAGTAGGTCAAGATCATTTTAATGAGGAAACTTTATAGCACTCCATCCCAGGTACCTACTGGCCAAATATCATGATCCTGGGCCTTATCGAACTTGAGAAGAAGATTGTTAAAGCTTTTAACCGAAGTTGACATTTGACCCCCAACTAGCATTTAAAGTTGACCTTTGACCTCATCACTGTAATTGAAAAAAATATTCGCACTGCTGGTCCACATAACATACCCAAGTATCATGACTAGTCCAAATGGTTTCTAGGATATTGTTGTTTGAAATTTATATTTAACATATATGACCCCAGTGACCTTGCAAGTTGGTCAAGGTCATTTTAATGAGGAAGCTTTATAGCACTCCATCCCAGGTACCTGCTGGCCAAATATCATGACCCTAGGTCCTACATTTCTTCAGAAGAAGTCGTTCAAAAGAAAAAAATGACAAACGCCGCAGTACGGCATAAACATGCATGGTCCTTGGGGCCAGGTGAGCTAAAAACGGACAAACCAGTTGTTCCACATAAACAAACAGGCCCTAGGTCAAGGTAAATCCTTTTCCCAATCTTTGTAGTACTCCATGCCAGCAAGTTACTTGGCATTTATCATACCTCTAGGCCTTTTGAAATGAAACTTGGTATGCACGTACATTATACAGAGACTGAGAAATTCAAGGTTGAGTAAAATCCATGCATTGTTAATGAGTATACTGTGCTCTTATTGCACAACAACTTTGTAAAATATGACCGAATTCTTATGAAACTTGGTCAATATTAAACAATCTCAGCTTAAAGGTGAATAAAATCTGTGCATATATAGTTTATAAGCAAACTGCTATTGGTGGACGGTTTCCACACAGCAACTTAGTCAAATATAACAGAATTTGTATGAGACTTGGTCAATATTAATACTTTGTCTATTATCGAAATCTGCCGGTAATTATTAGACAATAGAAAATCTTTGGTTGAAATGGTGCGAGATGAATAAATATTCATTGGCAAAAAGGGGCAATTTCAATTTCTGTTCTTGGTTTGAACCATGTACAAAGGGAGACAATTTCTATGCAAATAATTTAATATACTAAAATGTATATATTCTTGACAGCTTAAATTGGTCAAGTATAGTACTGTTTTCTCCTTCACCACATTCCATGGATAGTTCTCAACTTTGCCGAGTAGTACAGTGCAAATGTATGTTGTTTCTTCAATTCATGCATCAGAAGGATTTTAAGTACCTGGTATGGGCAGATTGGTCGAGTGGTTAACACTCTACCTTCCACGCAGGCGGCTGGGGTTCGATGCCCGAAGTCGTCATAAGCTTGGATATTCAGAGAAAGTGTTTTTCTCCTGCCCACACAACTCACAGGTGGAGTATGAGTTGGTCTGGGGTGGATATTGCGGTATATATGCTGTAGCATTCAAGTGAAGTGGCACTATAAATGATGCCGTTGGAAGCTCAGTCCCACTACAAGCAGAACACAATACATCTCCACCACACACAAGGAGATATTAGCCAAGTGGTTTAGGACTAGTAGATAGGGCCCGATAAGGCAGCTCCTGCGTATTCCTAAATTGTATTGATTAATGTATACGTTAATTGTATTAATTACATGTCTATGTACTGTAAAGCGCTTTAGAGTGGCTAATGTTAGTTAGATAGGGCGCTGTATATTATGTCCGTTTGGCATGGGACAGGCCTATATATCGTTCCACCTTGCAGTACTCTTATTACAAGTTTGACCCTTTTGATGGTGAATAACAGGTCAAGGTCATTTGCCTGGAAGTTATGACTCTGAAGTCCCCTTGTGGCCTTGTTTAAAAACAAATTTTGTTCTCCTTCATAATTTTTGTAGCACATGTTCTTAGTGTGCCTCATAATAAATATTTAAATCATCCGACTGCTGGCTCATTACAAGATTTTGTTACTCCTAAATTTGATCTTTTGGGCCCCACAAAGGGGTTAGCCCTTCTCCTTCGCAAATCTAAATCATCATCACAATTAGGGTTACTACCTCATGCTTTTTGAGAAGAGGTTCAAATAATCGTTTACGGACAGACAACAGGTGAGCTAACAAATATGGGAGCCCAACAAAAAAGTACCACTGTAAGCTAGCCTCCAGTTATATCTCACAACTCCACATCTGTCAGTTCTGTGTATATGGAGTCGTTTAAATTGACACTTTTTACTCGGCGACATTAACAGTTGATCGTAGTTATGACCACAGCAAACTACCAGCCAAATATCATGTGGTTTTATGGATGTTTCAACAAAGTTTCACTGAAATGGATCTGATTTTTCTCTGCCACAACAAGCTATAGACATATTATGGCTCTTTGCCTGATGCACAGGTCCTGGAAACACAAATTTGATGTGTATGCTTGTACCAGTATACCATGTAATGGTACACATACAGTGTATAAGTGTCTATACCAAACCTGAAGCCTGGTGATTATCTTGACATAATTTATTGAAGAAGTCTAAGGAATGTTTAACCCATATAACCTGTGACCTTTAAACTTGGCCAAGGTCAAAGATTTGAAGACATATTTTAACTTAATTTACACCACATCAAGTTACTGGCCATGTCGATGACTGACAGTCCAACACCACACAATCATGCAAGCTCATAATTATTTTGTGCCAAGCGACCTTTAAATTGAAAAGCAGTACACAAATTTGTTTTCAAAACATTTTAATACTTTATCCTGAATAAAGATCTCACAGTTAAATTAAAGATTTCTTAGTAAAATAATAGCTGATTATATGGATATGTACAATATAAGTAATTCCACATTTATGTAAAATAGAATCAGTAACGATACATTACTTTCACACATCTTACTGGGTAACTACACAAGATGTCAGTGCCCTATAATATCGGGACTCTGAGCCAACTCAGAATTGCCATTATGCAAAAACAAAAACCATGGATATTTGGTGTGTATATATATATATACGATGTTGGGGTTATACACCAATTTCTGCTCAGTACAACAGCCAAGTCAATTACAACACACTAGTGCTACCTCAATGTTACTAATGGTAGACAGAAATCTGGCTAATGTTTATCTAAACACATGGAAGTCATGGTTAGACACCTATTTTCTGCTTAGTCTTAATACTATATCCTAGTCCTAGCTTGATGTTACAAACAATATTCCAAGATCTGGCTAATGAAAATACGATGGAAACATATCCCAGTACTATAGCACGAGGCAGAAGATAGTACTACATGGTGAAATATTGCTGCCGTTTTAAAATGAATGCTGTTAATTTGTCAACCTATCAAATAAATTCTGATTTACTAGGTAAGTAACAGTAAATTTCTTAAGGACTAGATGCATAAGATAATTGACCAGTCCTCATGATGAAGTTTTGAATTCCAAACCCCAACATAAACAAAGCCCCTGGATCAATCGCAAATTTACCAGTGTCATGTTTAATGATATTGCACTATAAATTTACAAAACAGAATTGTGACATCACATAATAACATCACAATTATCCTATTGATCAGACACAACAGTCGCCCCAGAAATGCTTTCAAAACATCAAGATGACTTTTTTCTCTCCTAAACTCCGAGTCCATTGAAGTCTAAAAATGTCAACATGAATGATGAATAAAATGTCTAGAAGAATAAAAAAGATAAATATTAAACCTGTGTTAAGACAATACAAAATACAGTTAAATTTCTGTCTTCAACACCAAAAAAACACAACAGACTTCCCTAAGATGCATTTAAATGCGACAACTGAAAACAGAACACAGCTGTTTTTAATGTGTGTACGAATTCTTACAGGTTTTAAAAAATGTATTGTTATCTTCTGAAATTTAAGCTGTTCAGGTGAAAGAATTAAAGAAGAAATCTTCAAGCACCACTTGACAGTGTTTATTTCTCCATTGAAATGTTCCGACAAAAAAACATACTACAGAACGACAACAATGTGTTGAGGTTAAAAACAATATAAATATATATATATATAGCATGTGGTACCTGCAACGTCAGGAAATTGTTTCCATTATAACAATTCTTTATAGAACATCTGCACTCACGCTTGCTTACATTCATCAAAATCTACTACCACAATTTTATCACTACATATCAATACAGGTCCCAAGTATGACAGACGTTTTTCGATGCATGATCCACAATACTACAAGGATGTTAGCTACATGATGTATAAATTGATTAACAGATGACATAAATGTTTTTTGGAGATGATACGTACGTTCATTGTTTGCACATATATATGTACATGTAGCTTCTTCATGCTTAACAGACGAATACACAATGTTTTCACTTCACATATCAGACCTGAATATAGATCAGCAATGAAGATAAATACAACAAGTAACTTTTATAAATCTAAATAAATCTGCCGATCACCTACAACAGCGCAAATATCTGCATTGTAGATGTTAACATGTATAAAAATTCTGAAATGATTTTGATTTATAAATCAAACATGGCAGTGACCGATTAATTTGATGATATATGTCCCTAAAAGTTATTTTTCACTTATGGTAAAATACACGACTATCAACAAGTATTACAAAGAAATATTTAAAAACATCAAACAGACTAAAACTCCAGGTGGTTCACATGCCAGGTATAATTATCAGCCCAGTAATGTCTGGTGTAAAACAGTCTGGCCTACATCACAGGTGGGAAATGAATGAATTCCAGTTCACAAGTTCTCAAACCAAACTGCATATGCCTGCGTACACTTTCAAAATGTTTCATCATTCAAGTCTTTTTTATCTGCTATAACCAACTTCTCAGATCTCTATGACTAAGAAATTACAGGTAATGGTTTGCCCGCACTGTGGCTTACATACACCTGGTAAAGTTCACTCAATGTGACTAAAACAGTGTCACTCTCGCATTTCTGTAAAACCTGGCACCAATTAACGTCGGTATGGAGAGGTTGACCTGCAAAGAAAATGAGAGATGTCAGTTTTTATCCATGTTTTTTACAAATGGACTAAAGAATCGTCATTTAAGTAAAATATAAACTTCTTTTCCCTTATCCAAATATTATACATTATGTATTTGTTGAACATTTGCAGAATTGCAAATGAATGATAGATGTTTTCTTCTTTTGGCATCAAAAAGACTTCTTTTTCATTTTCTTGAAGAATGATCACTACAGACATTTGTAAATAACTAATTTATCATTCTAGTTGGGGTTACTTCTATTTCTATTTTTATGACTATACTTGTATTAGTGCTCAGTAATGCTTTGTATCCTAATATGAAATTTGATGAATGTCTGACTTTTATTTGGAAGTCATGAAGCCGATTGTAAAATCTAACCAAGATAATATATGGATAGACTGACGATATTTAATGCCCCCTCGACAATGTCCAATATTATTAACAAAATTTATGTCAAATTTCCTTGTATCTGAAATGTAAGACAAACAACATATTTAACCTGAAGTTACCAGATGCAACAAAACAATAAACCTCTGATAGCAGAGCCACATCACCAAAAGCTAAATAGCAGGACATCCCTTTTCATCTCCAAACATGAGCAGAACTGTCAACCCTGTTGGACATTTCTGTCAAAAACTGGAGAAATGTTCAGATTATTTTGTATAATAGAATATTAAAAGTCAATATTTTAATCCAATCATCAATTGATTGCTTCATTATAAATATGGTAATATCAATAAAAGCAAACCAAATAATAGCCGTTGGGGGATAAATTATATATGCAATATAACAAAAGAGGACAAGACATAGTTGATTGTTCAAGCTTTATAATACAAGAATGGATTGAAATAATTTGAAATTGACCACAGATTTGACAAAACTGACAATATAACAGGATTGACTGTTCCAGTAAACTTCACAACTATTTGGGTAAACACATTTCACCAGGAAACAGTGTACACTGTGTTCCGATAAATGTGTTTAATTATGGGACAGGGAATACTGTTCTAGCAAAGTTGTTTGGCCGTTTGACCTGGACATAATTATAATTAATACTGTTTCAGGAAGCCCACTGATCATTAGACAACACAGGATAAACTGTACTAGCAAACCAATTTGACTACAAGAATAAGACAAAAGTACACAGTACCAGCCAACCCAGTTGACTGTGTACACTGTTCCAACAATCTCATTTGACCACGAGACATGGTATAATGGTCAAGGGGACCCAGGTAACACAGGATAACCGACTGTTCCAGCTAACCAAGTGGATCATAAAACTAATCCTACCTGCTGCTACTGCTTCTAGAATGTCTTCTGAAAACCAAAGTGTGACTGTTGGAAAACTCCAATATTGACATCTCTCAGACAAACTGAAGGCACATATATATATATGGACATCTTTGCCTTGATGTATTTTTTTGTCTTTATTTTCAAAGTTAAGCAAATTTTTCACCAATTACCACCAAAATATGTTTGCCATCTTTAAAAGGAGCACAATCCCCTATTTTAGTTGTTACCAAAACTGTATATAAATGAGACTAATATAACACAATATCATCTGGAAATAGAAGCTTTCAACACCCTCATTTTCAGACATTAACCTAACAGAATACCAACCATACCAGCTGTTGTTTGTGTTAAATGTGAAAACTAGTCAGATCTTTTTAATTTACCTGCTGCGGCTTCTGCTTCGGGAGTACCTCCTACGGGGTATTGGAGATCGGGACCTTGACCTGCAATGAACATCAATGGTAATTTCTCAAGTATTCAAATACATTTATATAAACTAAGAAAAAAACACAGGATTTTGACGTCACTCCTCGAAAGCATCACACAGTACAGCCGAGAAGGAAATACTCCTGTTTTCCAACAGAATTTACGATTGTGTTACTGGTGCAATCTAGGTAGTTAACTGTGTACATAGAATACAGACTTTGTTAGTCAAAACAATGATTCCACTGTCAGATATAACCAATTTCCATTTCACAAATTTAAAATTAATTTGGAATACAAACTTTTTCAATTTTTTTTGCTTCATACAAACGTATTGCTTATTTTAAGAATGTACTTAAAAATATAAGATAGCTTACCAATCTATCAAAAATAATAAAGCTTACTAATGTATTTTTTTTATTTTTTATTTTAACATCTGAATCTAAGTAGAATGACTCGGAATCAAAGAATATATGAGTGTAAAACACCTGAACAGTGGAAGGGGGATGTGTTAGCAGTTCACCACCTGTAAATCAAACCACCTCAGAGGAAAGAGAGATATATCAAAGGGGGATATGACAATAATGTTTTCTTTAACTACACTATTTAAATGAAGATTTTTTTTATACATTTTTATGGTATTTTACCAAAAATCTTTGAATCTACCTCCAAATCTCAAAATTTAATTAAGTAAAGAAAGAGATGCACATGTGTAAAAGACTTAACTTGGTAAGGCCGAAAAAAAATAATTATTCTGTGTTTCCACAAACATACCAGAAAATATTGGTGAGTAGATCAGAAATACTTTTTCTCTCATTTGATTTTATTGCTAGGTTTTTAATAAGAAGAAAAATGTTATTATCAAATGCTTCTTTTGTATGATTCTCTAAAAGCTAGCACTTCTTCCAACTGCATTTTTCTAATGAAAGCTAATAGCAATGATAAAGAAATGTGTATGCCTTTGTCAACAAGCTATATTTTACAGTGTAACCTAAGTGGGATACTAAAACGATGGATACCAATATCAATGTTTTACTGCCACAAAAAAAAAGAGAGAAATATGTACTAAAACTGAACTCAGGCAACAATCAAAAATGAACTAAATACTAAAATAGCTTGTTTATTAATCCAGAATGCAAGTTTCGGCAAAATAAAATAATGAAGCTTATTTTTTCAGTAAACATGGTTTACTACCATCCCAGACCAATGATTTGCTCTGACATTATAGATAGATTTTTTTACTAAAATAAGTAACAAATTAAACATAAAATTGTTAATAATAACAAAAAAAAGTCCATAAAAATAAGGGAATGAAAATGGAGAATAAAAATGCAGCAAGATAAAGGTTAGTAGAAAAAGCATGGAATGATGAGTTAAAACAAAACATGAATGACATAAAATACTGGATTTGTACCCAATACCATTGCGCTGTCATCGATCGATGATGTCTACCGACGGTTGTAGCCCTGGTGAGTGGACGCACGATGACTGCAGAATTTGGACAGATTTGGGAAAAGTGGTATGCCCCGTAGGCCTTAGAGTTGAGGGTGAACAATGTGTTGTTTGTTGTGGTAATGATGGAGCAAACGAGGACCGAAGCCGAACAACGAAGAGAGGGCTGTAGATAAGTTGATTGATGGTGGAAGGAACCTACATGCTGATTGACCATTGTCAAATTGGTGCCGATGCACAATAGTCAATCAGTTAGGCTTATCGTTTGGTGACAAGAGCCCAACTATGCGAAGGCCGATGGATGATGGGCAGAATGCTGAAGACAACTCCCAGGGTTTTTGGAAGACTTTGCTGTAGAAGTCTTACTGTACTGTAGCACCTGATGATATTTACGACGTGGCTTGTCAGAGAGATGGCTGATTTGCTGTGCCGTACGTTGAAGTATTGAAACAAAACGTTGTTTCTTGGTCTAAGGTGTAAGCCTTAGCTAGGCTGGGCGGCGAAGGTGGGAGGAAAGTTGATTTGTAATTGTAAAACACTGCGCTGATGCTGTTGGCAGGTGTAGCTGTCCAAAGGCATCAAAGGGGAAAGGCCTGTAAATTGTTCCGTTAAATTAATAATATATATATCTCATATTGAAAAATAACAAGATTGCATTTCTTTTCAGCAAAAGAGAAAAAATATTTAGATTGATATTATTTTAAAAGCATTTTCTATGCATTTTCAAAATCACACTAGAAATATTTTACAGACATCTATATTTTCAAATAATATTTGACAACTCATTAACGGTCATTTTGATCAACAACAAGCGGTCCATAGGCTTGAAAAACTCACTAGGTTTTTACTTGACAACTGAAGATATATAATTCAAATAAACAAATTTAAAACACAATCTGACATGTGTTAAAAATAAATCAAGTTGTCAACATGAATGTGCACATAGCATTACAGTCCCCTTTGGCCAGGTAGGATCCATACAAAATTCAGTCAAAAAATGTTCACCCAATTTTTAGGATGTATCCCCATCTTAATTACTTAGCATATTGATTTTCTTACCCTAGGGTAACCATAAGCTTCATTTAGAAGAATTCACTTGAACAAAAGATGAGTCGTGCAAAATTAAATTCAGAAGTAGCCTTGTTAAGATTTATACCTTTTCTTCTCATTTTTTACACCAAGCCCATCTGCTCCTACAAGGTTCAAACCCCTCATCCATACGAAATTTAATTTTCTTTGTACAGGGATGCTTCCAATATAAGCTTACTCAAAAGTACTATTTATGAAGTCTTTTATGATGCACACTTTCCCCCCATTTAGCACTTAATTTCTTCCCACAAGTTGAGTGTAGCATGGGGGCACACCTATCAATTATGATTAATTCTGGGCCACAGGAATGCTTTACACCAAATATTGGTCAAAAGGTTCTTGGTTGCTAGTCTTATACAGGAAAAGATAATGACAAACAGACGGGCGACATGCCATGCCACCAGCTCACTTTAGCCTTCAAGGCCGATTGAGTTAAAAATGTGCCACTTGATAATTTTTGTGGGGTTTGTTTATATTTTTTTACCATTTAGTTTTAAAACCCACTGTTACAATCTTGGAATCCTACTTAAATGTCAGTGAAACAAAAATAACTTCAGAATAGATGAGGTGCGACTTGAAGTATCTTAAATTTAGGCTAAAGGAAAAGAGTATTATTCATTGTCGGACCCCAACCAATGCCTTCCTGACATAATATGTTTTACCTTTAACTGGTGAAAGATAAAAATGACACATGCCTTAAAATAACAGGAGAAAACTAAAATGGTATACCTCAAAATTTTAACTAAACAGGAATTTTGTTTCATTCACAACTTCTATCCAAAAGATAAGTTATTTATACAATGTATTTATGAAAATTAAGAAATATTTTAAAAATTATATATATATATATGTTTTGCAGATGCAGGATAAACAAGTGCTAAGCACCAAATCAGAATATGAATTTTTGATATATCTATAATCTTCATTTATCAACAAATTCCTTCACAAATTCCTCTGACTGTATATATCGAGTCTTCAACAAATATTCACAAAATTGAAAATTCTTAAAAGAACAGAAAACGGGAATAAGTCTACAGAGACATTGACTTCCTACCAAAAACACATTAAGTACAATACAACAAATGAATATGGTACATGACATGTGGGAGAGATGACATGTTTACAGGAAAAAATGAGTTATGTATACTGTTATTTCTGTATTGTGTATATACATACCTAGAACGTCCTCCTCGACTTGTTCCTGGACGCCAGTAACTGTCTTTGCTGTCTCGACCTCCCCTACTGCCGCCGCCGCCACCACCACCACCTCCGTACTGACGCACAGGGGGACCACCCTTACCCCAGCGGGACTTCCCATGTGACATCTCCACTCTCACTTTAGATCTACAAAGTCTCCTGAATTATACAAAAGAAACAAAAATGTTAGGTGAAGTAACAAGAATTTATCAACAAGAATGAAGATACAAAAAATATAAAACACTTGATAATTATTGTAGTCCTTTTTTACCTGTAGATTGATATTATTGCTATTCATAGTCAAAAACCCTAATGTGTGGGTTTGATTAACGAACTATTTAAGTATTTGGTACTTCTCATATTTAATATATGTTCATCATAATATTATTGACTCCACAACACGTATTAATGTATTATATTTGCTATGTAATAAATTCATTAACCAGTAAATCACCAAGATATCTTATTTACCATAAGATTTCATTTGTTACAATGAAAACTTTTAAGTATTATTTTTATTATTGATATTTTATCAAGTAATAATGCCATGTCAAGGGTTTCAAATGGCTGCTTTTGACCCTCAAAATTCTAGAGTCTTCCTACATGTGTATAAAAGGGACTGGGTCAGATTTTGTGATGTATGCATACCTGCCAAGTGACCCGATTTCGTAGGGTTACACCCAGGATATTAGCCCTTCACCCGCTTTTATAACTCACCCGCCAGGTTACGTTTTTGACCAGGATTTCATCCATTTCACCTGTTTTCGCCCAGAATCTTTTCGTATATTAGAAGTAACTGAAGTCACTCGGAATTCTCTAGACTTTTCAATCCTTTGTCATAAATACAATCTATTTCCCGTTTCCCACAGACAGGTAAGTTGGGAGTTGTTTATATACGTACTGGACTGTTTCTACAAATGTGTATATAAAGACCGTTGTTACTGAACTTACTGACAAATATTTAGTGAGGTGTGTAAACGAAAAATTATTGAGTTGTTTTTACAATTGTATTTACGTAGTATATTCATTCCTTGAAGGAAAAAGTCGTTATCAGGACTTGCAGGTTCTACTACACGAAATGCTTAAAGAAAAGATAATAATAATCAAATGCCGTAGGAAAATGAGTTATAGTGGATAAAGTCTGGCGGTCATGGACCAAACGTTCCATTCTGCACTCGATGTTAATCGCATATTTCAGTTGGACCTGGTGCTAAAAGCGACATTACTTAGACATTCAAAAACCTGTATAGGCATTTGTTGATTTGTTTCTGTCAATCAAAATGATCCTGACAATAAGAATTCAAACCCTACTTGTATAAAACTGATATTTTATATGAGTAGGGTGCTACTTCTTATTGTCAGGACCACTTTTATTGACAGATACAAAATGGTATTTTATATGAGAAGAATGTGACATCTTATTGTCAGGACCACTTTCATCGACATAGAAAAATGCCTGTGAAAACACTGTATCATATTTATTATTATGAATTAATTTCATAAGTTGTGTTCTTGACAAATCTTTTTATCTGCAGCTAATGTAGATCTGCTGGAAGAATAGTTCAATGAATGTAGAATGTACCTTTTACATCATTAAAATATTAAAGTTCTAATTTAATATCTACATATGCTTTTTTTATATTTGTTGCGAAAAAAGACGTCGCACGCTAGACCCACTTTTTTATTTTCAAAAGAAGGTCATCACCCTCTTTCCGTATATCCGGGGTTGGCGGGTATGTGTATGCTTGATTTTACCTCAAACACAGACTTTTGATATTCTTACTTTCCGTGAAGTTCTTTGCATGCATCTTCTGCATCCCTTGCATCTTCAAATTCAACAAACGCAAACCCTGGGGGATTCCTGGCAATCCAGACATTCTTTAGCCTTCCGTACTGACCAAATGCATCTTCCAGTTCCTGCTTGTTTGCATTGTTCCCCAATTCACCCACATACACCTTGCAGGACAGTGTCCATTCTTTTGAACGACCACTCATGTTTATTTCCTGCAAAATATAAATTTACATTTTGATTAATCAACATCCCCATACAAACTGTGAGCCTATAGGTTCCGTATCGTTTTGGAATATATACTCCAATTTCCAAAGCGCGGGGGGTGTACGAACCCAGCGTATCTTCTTAAACAGGTCCAGTACACTCTGCCGATTGAGCCACAGGGGCATGGATCGCTTTACTTGTAATATAAAAAAAAAATAGGGGTCTCCTATACTAATATATACAAAGGGATATAACGACAGACTGAAATCCGTTACCCCCTTTTCTCTTTCAGCTCCTGTCAATCACAAATCTTTGTCCATATTGGATATACCTCGGTTGAATATTGAAGACAATTGATTTATTTACAAAATGAAACCATAACTACGACTGTCTGACACATAGTTATCCACTGACACCGCTTTAAAGTCGCAATTACACCATTAAATTGCGACCGAACCAAATTCTATACTCACGAGAAATGACCAAGTTTCACGGATAAACTCGATAAATATATCCAAGGAATGGTTTAAATCCTTATTTAATATCCTCAATCCAATACATGTGCTGCCCGCTTCTCTGAAATACTACGTCGATCAGTTTCTACACATGACAAGTGGTATATAGGGATTTTCCCCCTCGCACACCTGCATTACACAGTAGCAGTCGACAAATAGGCGCCATTTTCTTTCGAATTATTTTACGCTCCGCACAGAATGATGTCCCGCCCTATCAGTGGCGGAAAACAAATGAGGTAACATTTTTGGAGTAGCTTCCCTTTCGCATACATACAGGTAGCCAATGATAGGGCGGGACATCATTCTGTGCGGAGCGTAAAATAATTCGAAAGAAAATGGCGCCTAGTTGTCGACTGCTACTGTGTAATGCAGGTGTGCGAGGGGGAAAATCCCTATATACCGCTTGTCATGTGTAGAAACTGATCGACGTAGTATTTCAGAGAAGCGGGCAGCACATGTATTGGATTGAGGATATTAAATAAGGATTTAAACCATTCCTTGGATATATTTATCGAGTTTATCCGTGAAACTTGGTCATTTCTCGTGAGTATAGAATTTGGTTCGGTCGCAATTTAATGGTGTAATTGCGACTTTAAAGCGGTGTCAGTGGATAACTATGTGTCAGACAGTCGTAGTTATGGTTTCATTTTGTAAATAAATCAATTGTCTTCAATATTCAACCGAGGTATATCCAATATGGACAAAGATTTGTGATTGACAGGAGCTGAAAGAGAAAAGGGGGAAAAGGGGGTAACGGAATTCAGTCTGTCGTTATATCCCTTTGTATATATTAGTATAGGAGACCCCTAATTTTTTTTATATTACAAGTAAAGCGATCCATGCCCCTGTGGATTGAGCTATATAGCTGTTAAGACCTATAATAGCTCTATTGACCTATCTGAAATGGGTCTTTTTAGCTATTTTCAAGTGATTTTCTTTTTTAAGGAAAACGAAACAAAGTCGCTTTTAAAAGAAGATTGTATCATTAGGTTGATAACAAAAGATATTAAATATCTATTCTTTTTAAAAAATAATGATGTAAAAAATCGGAAATTTCACATTTATGAAAAATGAAAATAAATGTCTAACTGTATGCTTTTTGTAGTCAACATTACCATAAACCTTATTGTTTTATGCGACTTTGCTTTAATTAAATGAAATTTGAAATCTGAGAAAATATAGCTCAATACAGCTATAATTTATAGGTGTAGGGATATAGCTATATAGGTCTTTATAGCTCAATCGGCAGAGTGTACTGGACCTGTTAAAGGCGGTTATAAATATCAGTTCAAGCAGTACATACAAGACGCATTTTAGCGCATATATTATCTGTTATATCTAGAGTGCAGATGTTAACAAACGTTGACTTATTGATTGGTGATAAAATTCGGACAGCAGCCATTTTGTTTTTCATTTTGCGTTTTTGGGTTGCCTTCGTGAGCGCGCCCCACATGTTAGGCCATATCATTTGCAATAGAACTTTACCAATTTTATAAAATGAACAATGCTTCACCCGGCACGATGTTGCAGCATCGCTTGACCAAATATTAAATGCAATATGGACACAACGCTGCAATTTGCTCTTAATATGCCTTACGTGTCGACGCAGGAAAATGGCTTCTTCTCAGTAAATCATGCAGGCGTTTGATTGGTTGATGGTATCGGGGTTGTAGTCACGCTTTGAAATAGACTTGCCTATGCCCCTTGATAAAGCAGAGATTACATGATATAGACAACAAAAACATGTCGACTGCCTTTTGAAATGGCCAATCCACTATATGATAACTAAAGATTAGCAATGATTCACAAAATTAAAAGTTAAAGTATTAAAGGCAGTTTATTAAACCCACAACTCACAAGAAAATATATTATGACCAGAACCTTAATGAGTAGGCCAGACAAAAAATATATGTGTTTCCTGTAACATGTTGGAAAATTTTAGGATAGGTAACAAATGTTATTTTGATAAATAATTTTGTATGGTTTATATAGGACTTTAACGGTGCTTCTTTGAAAATTGCCATAAAAAGTTTAGGGTAGGCACAACAGATTAGGGAAGGTAGGGTTAACGGAAGCACTAAATATGTTTGGGCCTTAGGAGAACTTGTCGTTCCTAGTGAGGGCACCTCAGGTTTTAATAATATTTATTCGGTAAAAGCAAGATACAGGTACAAATATCACATATGATCACAGATTTCAATTGCATAATAATCACAGATTTATCACAGTATTTAGATTATCACATCAAAGTTAATATCACAAATTTTGGAGCACTATAAATACAATGTATCTGTTTGACTAAGCTTTAACCTAGGATATCCCATGAAAGCTGGGTGGCAGCTTATTTCCAATGGGGTCCTCTAGTATAGATCTTAATTACTTAGATAACAAAAGGTCCTAAGGATTTGACCTTATAATATGAATATAAGATGGTATAATTTCTCGTAATAATATATATATGAATAGAATAAGTTGTAATTGGTCAAATATGATGATGATATATTATTTCATCAAAATGAGATGTTATTTTATTTGACGGTATAAGATGGAGTTGTCATTAGCAAATATGATTCCCTTCTGATAATATATATATGTGGGGCTTATGCATGATGTTGTTTCCACTTGTAATATTAAAATATCAGTTATATGTATCACTGTACATATCATAAAGCAAGATGATGTCATTCTTGCAGTTATTAAGTAACAATATAAGATATACATTTATACTGTGGTACTTGTGTGTAGAACAGACAACAGGTGGTTGGACAATCCCTACCAACCTATTATCTGTCTAACAAATTATAGCAATTTTGGGTATAATACATATATAAAAATGACTTTTAATAAAATAAAGATTGAGGATGATGGTAATAAAATGTTCCATAACATTTATAAAAATACATATTATATTGGTACTTTAGTTAAAACTTTGGTAATACATCATATATTTTTCAGAAGAAGTTTAGAGTCATCCACTGGGATAGAATAAAAATTACCTTTAGAAGACAAATTCTTGCTCAAAATCATTTTTTGCCAAAACTTGTAAGTACTTTTTTATCTCGCTTTTGAATTTCATCTTGTGATCGACAGATTTTATTGAATGTGGTAAGTTATTCCAATCTTTGATAGCATTATAGAAAAAAGATGATGATTCCACACCTTTTATATAAGGAATGTTGAAATTCAGATCACTGTTCCTGGTAAAGTGTTTTTTCTCTGTTCTAGTAAAATTTTCTTTCATATAGGATGGACATTTGTTATGTTGAATATTAAAGACATGGTTAAAACGGAGCTGTTTCACCCTGCCCCCAACATCCAACATATTAACTTGTTCCAATTCCCGATGGGTGACTCTTGATCTATTATCAAGTTTCAGAATAAATCTGACCACTTTATTCTGTGTAATTTGAACTTTTTGTCGAAGTTTTTTGGATATGTTTTCGAACCAGCAGCTAGAAGCATAGTCAAAATGACATTGGATCAGTGCCGACACCAGGGTTTTTCTAGATCTAAAATTGAGACAGTCACGGTGTCTATATAGAAACCACAATTTCTGGTTCACTTTTTTTATAATATTTTGGACAATTTGTTCTCCAGATAGAAAGTTGTCCAATATAATACCAAGATATTTGACACACACCTGAGGCATAATTATATTACCGTAACACGAAACAGAAAATGAGCCTTCAGGTAATTTGGAAAGTTTCCTTTTGGGGCCAAACAAAATACTCTCTGTTTTTCCAAGATGTAAGGATAATTTGTTATCTGTTAGCCAATCGTGACATGACTCTAAGTTTTTCGATAGAAATTTTGAAATAATTTTTGGGTCTTTGTGCGAGAAGATAATTGCACTGTCATCTGCGTACAGAAATAATTTGCATCCTGGGTCAATACTGATCCGCATGTCATTTACATAAATGAGAAAAAGAAGCGGTCCCAATAAACTCCCTTGGGGTACCCCGCATGTTATATTACAAATATCCGAGTTCACATTATTGATATTGACTAATTGTTTTCTGTTGGTAAGGTATGATGTGAACCACTCCACCGACTCAATGCCAATTACGCCAAGTTTATCACACAGAATCCCATGGTCAACTGTATCAACGGCCTTCTGTAGGTCTAGTAAAACCATTCCAGTGAAGAGACCTTTAGACGTCTGGGACTTTATGTGATCAACCAGGTGAATTAAACAGGAGTCAGTGGAATATGATTTTCTAAAACCAGATTGGAACTCAAACAAAATGTTGTTATCAATCAAAAATTGTTCCAGTTGTTTATAAATTGCTTTTTCTAGGATAAAATTGGGTTTGTAGTAGGATAGGAACAGTGATACAGATAGTGCCGTCGCTGGGGCTCGAACCCACAACCCTTGGCTCTCCAGCCCGATGTTCTACCACTGAGCTAAAAAGGGAAATTCCCTACAGCTGACGCTGGTAAGGCAACCGTATAAATGCACGTCTTTTACAAAACAATATAGACATAACACTGACTTCCGCCAGTGTGATGAAACCCGTAAGGGTGGATTAATGTAGGCGCAAAACCCGTCAACAGAAAACATTGTGACGTTACAAAGGACATGACACCATAGAGTGAATAATAACCTGCCGTTTAGAGTGAATATGAACCTGCCGTTTAGAGTGAATATGAACCTGCCGTTTATAGAAAAAGTAACATCGAGTCGATATAACAAATCATGAATTTGTGTTCGAGAAGGGAAGACAACTTATGCACAAGTCTGTTCAATCTATAGCTGTTTTACATCCTCGACATCCAGGGGTTACGTCAACGCTTACTCTCGCTCTCTGCACAGAGCGAAAGTGAGCGGAACCCCTGGATATCGAGGATGGGGTAACGTTCACTTACGCCGCTCTATGCACCCCTGAAATATGTCATAGCAAAATCGAAGGCTCAGTGTGCACCACCTTGATGATGAGACAACAATTAAGACTAGTTCGATCCGTTGATGTACATAAAAAGAATTTCGCGGTCGCGTAACGGTAAAAATTGACTGGCTTTGAAATTGGGTGTCGCTCCTCTCTAATCTTTAAATGACAGGTATCAGCCTAGCGATTGGTCAGGTTTTTTATACCTGAGACCAATCAAAAGGCTGCCTCTGTGCCTTCAATTTTGCTATGACAAATTCCAGGGGTGCAGAGAGCGAAAGTGAGCATTACTCCTTGACTGAGTATCGAGGATGGCTGTTTTACACAAGCTCTATGTGGACATGCTACCTATTCTGTGCATATGAAATGCAGACAATTAAAGTACAAGCACCCATTTAAAAGTTACCCTAGAGACCAGTTGAGTATATATGATAGGGCTACCCATACAGCAAGTTGTAACTTTGTATGACAATGAATTTTGAAGTTATCATTCAGAAAAGCAAAAATTCAGTTTTTGTAGCAAGGATGACCTTGTCCTTTGACTGCCCGCCCCTGAAATCAATAGACTTGGTTGGAATCACTTTTCCGTCTTTGCGTATTGCAGAGTTATCTTCTCTTGGGAGCAGGTATTGATTGTTACGTCAATTGTTTGTGAGAGTAACGTCATCAATTTTTGAGAAAACGACGTAGTTTTCTCACGCAAACCAATGACGTAACAATCAATACCAGCTCCCAAGAGAGGATAACTCTGCAATACGCAAAGACGGAATAGGGCATGCAATATACAAAGTTTGAACTTAAACCATTATAATGGTATTATCGAGAAAACACAATGAAGCAAACTTCTGTTTTAGGAACAGTGACCTTGACTTCAGGCAAACCACACTCAAAATCAATAGTTTTATTTGCATCTACCAGGGCAACCCACACACCAAGTTAAAAGATTATATGATCATTTGTTCTCAAGTTATCATCCTGACAAGCCCCACCAAGCTGGCTTCTACTTTTTAGCAACGATGATCTTGACCTCTGTCGGACCAAGCCTAAAATCTATCCTTGCATATACTAGGGCAACCCACACATCAAGTTAAAAATATATATGATCATTTGTTCTCAAGTTATCATCCGGACAAGCCGAACCAAGATGAATTCTATTTTAGCAATGGTGACCCTGACCTCTGGCGGACCACACCTTAAATCAATAGGGTTCTTTAATCTACTAGGGCAACTGACACATCAAGATTGAACTTTGTATAGTCATGTATTCACGAGTTATCATCCGGACAAGCCCAACCAAGCTGAATTATATTTTTAGCAACGATGACCTTGACCTTTTACAGACGACGCCCAAAATCATTTACGTTCTTGGCATCCATTAGGGCAAACCACACACCGATTTTGAAGCTAATATGATAATCTGTTATATCCGAAAAATCCCAAGCCAAGATTAATTCTACATTTAGCAACGGTGACCTTGATCTCTTGTGGACCTCGCCCACAATAAATAGAGTTCTTCCCATCTACTAGGGAACCCATCAACCAAGTTCGAACTTTGTACGATCACTCGTTCTCAAGTTAACCATCCGGTAAAGCACAACGTACGGACAGACGGACAGCCTGCGTGACGACTATACGTTCTCCCGTACTTTTTTTTCTGGGAGGGGGGAGGGGGGGGATAATGATTGATGATATGGGACAAATTCGAATGTTCAGGGTTTTATTTCAAGAGGACAACCTTCTCATTATGATTATGTTGACCTTTTGAGAAGAAAAAAAACCATGGTTATATATTACCAGTCAAAGATGACATGATATTCACAGTACAACTACAATGAGTATAACAAAGAATATCTATTATTGTTCAAAGTCAAGTTACGACGTTATGTTTGTTCAACGTGTTACTTCATGCAGCAGATTGCACTGGTCATAGACCATAAACACAGATGTTCAAATGTTACACAAAGATACAAGACCAGTTATGGTAAATAGAATATTTAACATCCGGCCATACATGTGGCTTACGAGACACCAGTTACGTTGTTGATTTCTAAGTATCAGCCCTCTTTATCCAGATCATCGATCTGTGTCGCTTATTGTGCAGTAAAAATGACAGGTCGTGTCATTGGGAGTGCCATATTTACCGAAAGTCGATGTAAACCCCTAAAACATGTAAAATTACCCTGAACCCCTTAGTTTAGGTCCAAATATAGCTTTAACAAATTCTCAGGTCCCTGTGGTGGAGTAGTGTAACTTGTTCATGCTGGTTAAGTCAGTGTTGGTCTAGTCTCATTTCAGAATATTAACAATTATTTATTTACAACAATTACTTAACAACTTACTACAACCTATATTATGAATCACTCTTGTTAACCCCGATGTTAGCGCGCGGGGGTCTTAATGTGTGTATGTGTGTTGTGCACGTCCAATCGAGTATTGGAACCCCGGCCGCCTTGGTAAAAGACCAGTGCGTTATGATAATAGTATACAACATTTGATATAGCGACCTATCTCGCTAGAATATGCCACTCTAAAGCGCTGTACAATACATAGATATGCAATTTATACAATCAATACAATTAGCATATACATTAATCATTACAATTTTGAGGAATTCGCAGGAGCTGCCTTATCAGGCGTTAGCTACTAGTCCTATGTCACCTGGCTAATATCTCCCTGTGTGTGTATGTTTGCGTGTGTGCTGGAGATGTATTGTGTTATTCAATACACCACGTGCCTGACCACCAAGAATCTTCCGTTGTACATTAGTCCGAATTATTCTGACGTTTTATCGACTTTTTCATATCGGTCTGTCGTCGATTAACGTCAGACCTCCGGCCCTCTATAATATGCGGGAAATATGCGACCCACGCCCGGAGCGCACTTCAAACTGATATTTTAGAAACAAATCGTCACTTTCACACACATGTCGCACATGGATCGAAAGATCTATTCTTTATGCACTAGGTGGTATCAATAACATGTTTCAAAGATCATTACGAAAAGTTTTTTCCAACGTTTTCTATACCAACCCATGTTTTTTATGGAAATTAGGCCATGAGAAATGTCACATGACTTGACGAGATCTCGCGTTACCGAAGGTATTTCCCAACGTTATGACGTAGGCCGGCGAGATTTTAGTCACGTGGCATTGGAAGGCGGGGCTATCAAAAAACTAGAGTAAAACAGAGTAAGTTTGAAAAAATATGTTTTTAGTGATTGTATTAGTTGTTTGAGGCATGTTATGTATGTTCATCTTGTGCATAAAGAATAGATCTTTCGATCCATGTGCGACATGTGTGTGAAAGTGACGATTTGTTTCTAAAATATCAGTTTGAAGTGCGCTCCGGGCGCGGGTCGCATATTTCCCGCATATTATAGAGGGCCGGAGTTCTGACGTTAATCGACGACAGACCGATATGAAAAAAGTCGATAAAACGTCAGAACAATTCAAACTAGTTGTACATGTGCATTAGAAATTGCACAACAGACATAACCTATATATGTACGTCTTCTTCTCTTAACAGTAACAAACAGTGCAAAGACATATAATTATTTATACAGGAAATAAACGTTATATTTAAATACTATATGATGTCACTTTTCCTACATTCTCATTGGTTGGATCATAATCACGTGGAGGTCGGTATTTTGTGATACTGACTCGGTCTTACTATTTTCAGAAACATCAGATTGATATTCACTTTATGACGTCACTTCAATTAAAACGTTAGATGCGCTCTGATAAATGCAGCAATTTTCTCTTGGCGATTTTGATATCTGATCTAATAATTAAAGACTTTCATTTTGGTGAAAATGTGTGATATTGACATGATGCTGACCTCGAACTCGTCTTGATCAGATATGGAATATTTTACGCTATGTTTTTAACAGTTATTAATAGTTGATTTGTCTCAAATATCTGTCAACTTGTTAGACATAAACTGGTATACCTAGCGCAGATATTCGATGTGGCCACAAAATGTTATCATAGTTAAAATATTTTTATTTGCTTTCTCAAATGTTTGATTTTTATACATTCGAACTAATATTCAAATAAATTATGCTTATTTTGTAGTCTGAATATAGCCGTTAATGAAGATACATTTTGATACATATTCATGAAAGCAGTAACATTAAACAATAATAATTGTCTCTTTGACACGTCTGTGACCGCTATTGACATAAATGTGATTTGTATTCACATAATATGTAAATATTTTTTTTTATCAGTTCTGTATATAAGTAGACATGGTCGGGTATTGTTACAAAACCTGAATACAATAAAACCTAATACAGGTACAATGTCACAAAAATATAATCAACTTGTTTCCCTTCGGATTCTTAAGAATCTATTTATCTTCTTTCTCATTGGTTTTACGACTGAGGCTAGTGTTGAAAAAGAAACGGAAGTATATTATTTGATAGAACTTTTAGATAAATATGGTTCCGAAGGAGTCGTGTCTGAGGAGGGATTTTACAGACTCGCTAGTAACCTAGGATTGGACCCTTCATATGGAGCTTGTAACACCACAACAGATAAATGCTTGTACAAGGTAAGTATATATCACTGCAACGGTAATATTTTAATGAAATGGTATAGGTTTTACAACCACAGAAAAAAGTCTTTTGATTTGCTCTATTCTCAATTAAGTTTTAAACAAAAATCAGAAAATAAATCATTGCGGACTTGCTCCCCTCGGCGGTAATCATAATATCACCCTGACCTGTGTCCCGGTGGTTTGAATGAAACAGTAACTGTAATAGAAAAAAGAAAGGATTTTAGACGCAAAAATAAATCACAGAAAAGAACAAAGTTTAACTTAATAGAGAGGAAGAGAGTACACCGCATTGCAAGGCGGATTTAGGAAGGGGTTCCTAGAGGTCCCAGACCTCCTCTTCTTCTTTTCATCTTTCCTTTTTATGTACACTGAACTCATACTAAAAGATTCAGCGAACTTCCTTTTTTTCCTTGGCTACTCCTCATATTCCAAAGCATGATACATTGCTTAAAAACATTTTAAGCAAGCGTTTGAAGTCAAGATGTTTTGTTTATCTATTTTTTATTTCAAAATACATAGATATTGCGGTATACAAAGATAAAAACTCGCCTTGCTGCCATTGGTAATATTCCTAAATCATTGAGGATGGAGCAGATTATACACGCATAGTATAATGGTAATCACACATGACATTCTTTTTAATATGTTTCCATAAAACACTTTTAGAATGGAATGACACCCTGATAGAAAAAAAACTAAACGCTTCCTATCGACTCGGCCAAGAAGAATCGTTATGACCCCTGACGACTTGGAGCAAGTACTTTCCTGGACGAGGAGGGGGATACATGTGACGCTGATATAGCTCGCAGCATCCTTCCATATGAGGAAAGCATTTATTTAACTCATTCGGTAGAGCGTAAGACTTATAATTCAAAAGTCCAAGGTTCGAACCCGTAGTGACATTGCATTGAAATAAAATCACATCTGTTACAATTAATCATAACAATAAAACAAATGCTTTACTGTATACTTTTGCCATGACTTAATTTTGTATGACATTTTAATGATAAATTGCACTTTAAAATGCGCCAGAGATCTTCTAGATTTCTTTTGTTTCCTGTAAGGAAGGGGCGTACCCACTAGGAAAAGATAATCAGACTCATGTTCCTTTTCTGTTTTGTCTCATAGTGTTTAGGATACGAAGACATTTTCCGGAAATTTTCCACTACTTCCGGTTTGAACAGCACAAGTCTAACCAAAAGTCTGTCCGCCATTGTCTACTCTGTTCAGGAGTCCAGTTGTCACCATGACGAAGACGAAGAAGAGGAGACGGAGACCAAGCCGAGCTCGGCCGAAGGTCAATATTTGAATTGTGTTAATCTGGCCTTGACAGCCAAATACAATGAATTTCCAAATTCAAATAAGAATCTAGGAATTTTATATATCCATATATCTCATCGATAGCTTCGGAGGTATAATTTATATGATTTGTCGAAAAAAGGTACGTTTATATAAGGATGTTTATAAAACAATTATATCCAAAGTGATTGGATTTTCAATGTGTTTTTTCTTTTTGGGGGATCCCTCTGGCTGAAATTTATATAACTCACGCTCATAGAAAACACAGACATTTCCTGTTGAGAATTTTAATTAATCAATGTTTGCAATTTAAATATTTAGAAATGCCGACCTAGCCTCCCAGAGTTCTAATGTGTCCTGATAGATAGAGCTTTGCTTTCATAAATAGATAGACGTTAACATTTTCCATAGAGACGCCATCAACATATCAATAAATCTGAAAACGATTAACATTTAAAGATTTTTGATGGAAAGGAAGATCATATTCATCCTAAATTTTCAAAACATCGTATTAATGGGACCTTATTCCGATAATTATAGCGGTGTAAATCTAACTTGCTTTGAACAACAATTCACCTAAATAGTTAAGCATCCTACAATCTCTATATATAACTCTAAATACTGTATACCGGGAAATATTCTCTGCAGTTTAATTTTCCTCTTTTTCGCCCTCCGTAATAAGGGCAAATATATCATACCAGCGAATATAGTAATTAAATGTGAAGGGTAAATAAAAACTGGGCGTAAAATGACCGTATGGGCGGAGAGCGAAAGTTGACTGGGCGAAAATTGATTTTTTGGGCGAAGGGCGAAAGTTGACTGGGCGATAATTTCCCGCTAAACAGTATGATAGTTAACTAAAACATACTTAATCTTTACCGTGGTTTTGTTCAAGCGTGGGGTTACGGCATCGGATCAGCGTCAGTGGTTGTTTTCATCTCCAATATTGGACTGTTCTTCAAACCCTGTATGCAGACTCGGGGGTTTCAGCGGATAATGTATTTTTGTGTGGCCCTTGCTGTGGGGACTCTAGGAGGGACTGGGATCCTTGTCCTAATACCAGAGGTAACCACAGCTATCCGATATGAAAATATCGATTACGTCCTCTTTCCTCGAGATTAGACATAGTCATATAGCTACGCTTTATTCTGGATTGAACATGAACATTACTTTTGCATTTGCCGTATTTTATTTCAATCCACATAGTTTGTCTTTGGTTTTGTCTTCATACCAAGATTTTTAGTTCTTGTCCTAATTAATAGTATGACGAATGTTTCTCTTGGTTCCTGTAGAGGCCAATGATATTTTCCTATTCCTGATATCGAAATCAAACGTTTTTATAGAACCTTATTCATTGCGTAGATATCCTATGTTTTTTAAGATAACATCAATTTTATATCTTTAATAAGACAATTTGATTTGTTTTATGAATAGTGAATTTTTTAACTACTTAAAATGGTAGGTTAATTTTCTTGAGTACACACTACTGCAATCTTTTTAATAATTTGTAAACCGCTTTGAGACGACCTACGGACTAGGTTGTGATAAAGCGGTATATAAGGACCTCTAATTATTATTATTATTATAATCTTATAAAAGCAGGCGTAATGCAACGTCGAGTCATTGTTTGGGTCCTTTGTGATACCAGGTGATTGAACCTGTTGGTGGACTTCTTATTCTTCCCAATTAGACAATTAAATCTCCAATTTGCTGGAAATTATTAAATCATCGTTTGGATTTTAATAACCACTCGTATGTGATGTGGGAGAAAAATAATGATTCCCGACTTTATCAGCAAGACAGAAAATTCTGAAACCTCGGGGTCAGATTCTTAAATGTCTGGCATTCGGCAATGCTTCGGGCCCATGGGGTGAGATTTTCCAAACTTACCCCTAAAGTGGCGAAAGTTTATATTAGTCTCATATTAATTTATCTTTTTTGAGTCGCGCTTCGGTTCATAATATACACAATCTATTTATTATTGATAAGAAACTAACCAGTACTCCTCGCATTTGTGAAAATCATTTAAATTGGGGTTTACACACCTCCCTTTCAACAGTAGATTATACCCAGTCGAATTTCCACTTTTTTTGCCCCTGTGTGTGTGTTACGTTATTCTTTGTTTCACAGAAGAATGTTAATAAATGTTTTCATTTCTAATAAAAAATCATTTTTTCTAACCCTCAAAGCATGCTGGTCGAACAAAAGAAAATATCCTTAAGTATTTTGCTATTTCCCACGGAACATATTTATTTTGAGTTATCCCCTATATCTTGCAGTCCTTAGGAATGACGGGCGAGGACAGTCCAATACCCGACTACAAGTGGAAACTGGTCATGGTCATCGTCGGCATCTACGTCTTTTTTGTCATGGAGAGATCCATCCACATGGGCACCGATATGAAGAAGGTACTGCTACCTATTTCTATTTCTCTTAAATAAGTTATTCCCACATAGCATAAATCTATCTATTAAGTCTTTGTCAAGTTTAATACAAAAATGCTACCGAATTCCTTGTGAAGAATTTTATCGAAAAAATATGTCAAAGGGCTATATAATGTTAATTGCAATGATGTTCAGGTATCATCTCTTGGCTTGAAAAAAAAAAAAGCATGAACTTTAGAAAATCTAACTCCCAAACATTTGACAAGAAAACTGAAAATAAGTACAAGTATATTTAAGGGGGTTATATGATAACTGGAGCCGAACATTCAAATTAAAACTATGAAATTTTGTTCTTTCCATAAACAACTGTACTCAAGATAAATTCTCGCTGCTTTTGATATTCTTTTGTTTTATCAAACGCGTTTGTTGGTGAGAGCGGGAAAATAGACTATTGAATCAGTCGCTCCATAATTATGTCAAAAACACTATCACTACGAGTTTTATGCTATTTCAGAAAAAGAAACGCGAATTATGCGTAGACACGACAGAACTAAATGGTTTAGAAAACGGCGACTTCCCTGGCCATTCTCATGTGAAGCAAGAAGGGGGTGTTGCTGCTGTAGCCTGGACGCTTTTACTTGGAGACGCCCTCCACAATTTTTCGGATGGTATCGCCATGGGAGCCGCCTACACGGAAAATGTAGCAATGGGAGTTAGTGTTTCCCTGGCCATCCTCAGCGAAGAACTTCCACACGAATTGGGTATGTTCTTATTCCGTACCTAATAGACCTCTTCAACTTGACAGGGGATTTTACTGGTTGGCAAGGCTGGTCGTGATAAAAACGAACACAGAAAACATGAATCTAATAGTGCTTGAAAGTAAGATATGAAATTACATTAATAAAGACAGACATTGGAAACATAATTGCGGAACACTTTAGTTATAGATGTTTTATTCTTGTTGCCTCAGGTAATGATGTAAAAATGGCTGAAATGGTTATATGGTGCATTAAAATGTTGTTGCTTAGTGATGTTTTCTGTATCTACAATCAAATTCTCAAATAGGTGTTCCATTTCCTCGTATAACTTGTTACTGTTATACGTATTAAAATAGTTGACTTTACTGGTCAGTCCTCAAAGTTGGCTGAAGCCTTGCAGTTGGATTTTCATTCTGACATTTTATATGAAACACCTGTATAAGGATAGATGATCTGTTGTGGCCAAAAGTTTTAATATGTAAACACAAAAGACAGGTAGATATAACCATTTACACACTTAAATCAGTATTAATTTGAAATTACCCAATACTCCTTAAATTATTGAATTTCATATTATTAAGGTGTCTTATGCGCCCCTCCCTATCGTAGTTTTAACCAGAAGTTGCCCCCAGAAAAACCTATGAGTGCTAGAAGGACGATAAAGCTGTATGCTATAGTGCAATGCATTTTTGGCATAATATATCTATAAACAAATCTGAAAGGTGCATCACCATGTGGGTGTGTCACGTTCATCTCTCAAACAGACATCTTGCAATATTATGTTTGATAAGATTGTTTTCTATTATGCCAGGCGATATAGCCATTTTGTTACACAGCGGGATGACAATCAAACGAGCCTTACTTCTAAACTTCTTGGCCGCGGTGACAATATATATGGGATTGGTGATCGGGATCATTGTGGGAGAGAACACAGACGCAAATACATATGTCTTCGCCTTCTCTGGAGGATTATTTATCTATATAGCGCTGGCTGATATGGTGAGTATATGAGGGTATATTATCAATATAGCTCTGACCTACATATAATGGGTATATAGAAGAATGTTCAACATACGCTCTAGTAACGATGCAGCTTTTTTGGCACTATTTTCATGAAAAAGTGCTTTAATGATAAATCATCCACAGCGATCAAATTTTGAATCATTATAAGGAAAATCCTAAAGCCTTGCATTGTATAATGACTTCCCCATATTGATTGCCATGTATCCAGATATTTTTCTTTAAATGTAAAACATGGTAATTAAAAGATATAATATTGTTCTTACCTTATTTAGTATCTTGCATATGAAAATTAATCAGCTCATATTTCTATGTCCTATTCGTGTAATGTTTTTTCAACTTGTAGATTCCGGAAATGAATAATCAAGCCAAATTTGCTGCCAGGGCTGGTAAGGACGGTACTATGACAGTGTTTTTCTATCAGAACATTGGCCTTGTACTGGGATTCGGTGTAGTTATCCTTCTGGCAACATACAGTTCCTACTTGTCTGTATAGAGAGGCACATTAGTATAGGTTAAATGTTTTACCAAGACGGATATTTTCTTATATGTTGCATGCTTACAACAAAATACTGTTTCGTAAAGGTTGCATCAAAATAGTAGCATTATGACATGTATGGCATTTATGGCATTATGTCAGCAGATTTATGGCATTGTTTATAGTTTGCATTTATCACTCTAACATGAAAACATTGACGAATTTTCTCAATCGAAAACAAGATGCACAAGACATATCTTTAAAAAAAGATAAACGACAGAGTTTTGATCTATGTGGTTCCAGTATGAAATAACTTTGGACCTATAGCATCGGTTCAGGATCCCCTAACCACTGCCAAAAAATGTAACTATGAATTAGAAAGATTTTACAGGTATGACAATAGCTTTAATAAATCATTTCTGAAAGAAATCTATACCTTACAGAACCCTTTATCTTTTGTAACTTAATAAGTGTTCCGAGGGTAACAAGGAAACGGAGACAGATCGGGTTTCGAACTGACACGAATCCCGTATAGAAATTGTTGATATCCAGACAAATCTAGACCAAAAAAAGAAGAGGAATACAGGTATATCAAACTATGAAAATATGTAAAATGTAAATAATTTTATAAACATCAATGGCAATCAAATTTTCAGTATCATAAATTATTTTTTATCATAACGATCAACAATGGATTGCAAATAGATGCATAATAATACCAATATCAAACACAATTCTAGCTTGGTGCATCATAAATTTGTTTTAATACTACGCTTAATGACAAGTTTTATGTCCGACGGTACAGCGTGTTTGTTTGTTTGTGGTTTAATGTCCAGACCACAGTCAAGGTTATGGGAAGACGGGTGCATAAGGAGATACCACCGGTAGGAAAGAGTGGAGAAGTAAAAAAGACACGATATAGATCCCAATTGTGGCTTTAATGTCCTCAACGTAGAAGACCCGGAAGAAAATCCCTGATGAGGGGATGGGGGAGGGGCACGTTAGTCGACTCTTACAGCATGCAGCGGGATACAGCAGGATTATATATAAAATGTATAGATCACAGCGTCAGCACACAATGAAAAGATCATTTAGGTCTTCCGTAAAGAAGAATAAGAAAATATTAATCACAGCGTTAACACACAGTGAAAAAGATGACTAACGTTTAATGTAACGTAAGAGATATATGCCACAGCGTCACCATTAAGTGACAAAATGTGATTTACATCTTCTATAAGATAAAACAGATTGTTGTCGCCATCTGTATCATGACGTCATAATGGTAACTTTGGGTATCACTGACCCTCCATGGAAGATAACTTTCTGTTCATTGCACAAGCGTAAATGATAAATAAGCAAATACGAACTATACCTTTTACTTTTATGAACGAGATTGAAAAACTATTACAAAAACGGTAAATATGAGTTAAGAACTGCAGTCACATTGCATCCATAGCCAATATATGATTGCCAGCTTGAAGTGACATACTCAAAATAAAGCGCGTTTGTCATGAATTTGTCATTTACAGTAGGCATTCATATAACCTTGAATGCCACCTGAAAGCAGTTCAATGATTAAGTGGTTAAAACAAATATGAGAAACGTTCCGTACAAAGCCATTGTTTGTCTGTTTAGTTTAGTTATTTGATACACCAAATTGTTAGAGATCGAACAATGATTGGTCAATATCATGTCTATAGAAAGTGTCGTTGGTACTTGAGTAAACTTATCATGTATTCAACAGAGAGCTATTCACAAATAAGGTTTATACAAAGTATTTATAGGCAAAGAGCATTGTAATTGGCTTGGTACAACTATATACTTGTTTTGACGGTTACATAAACATTCTTTATCCAGAAAGAATAAAGAACAAATATTTGTCTTTAACCTTGCCGAACATGTTTAACTTGGTTTATAGATTTAAACCATTCGGGAAAAAGTGTCGACCTTTAACTTTTTTCCCATTTTGCCCATTTTCTTACTTAGTTAACGTTTGATGCTTGGCGATACTTCTTCCCTTCGGAGTTTATTTTTTTAACAAAGCTGAGGTCGCCGGTAAAGGCATTAACGATATTTTATAATTTGCCGCTATTCCGGGACCTTCCAAATTTCTTTAATATCGAAGATTGTATTCCCTGCTAAACGTTCAGCATTTAGGGTAATTAAAACCACCTCCATTATCTGTATAATGTGACCGGGCGGAATTCAGTGCTTGGTTCCTTCGGATTGGTGTTTCAGTGAGGAAACACTATGAATTCGCCATCATATTCACGCCATCGCAAGAAGGAAAATACACCTAGGTATCGTACACAGATACACATACCTTAGTAGATGACACAATAGAGTCACGTCCTATTACCTTATAAAGCTATTAAATAGATTATAAAACCTATTACAGTAGAACAGCTTTATTTAAAAAATAAAATTAAAAAATACGTCACCTTGCTTATCATAGAGGTATGGACAGTGGAGTAGACACAAAAAAATCATAACATTTTCCTTATTAGAATAGATATAATCAACATATGTTTGTAGATTATGGTGAAAAATATAACTCGGAATTCGGAAGTATTGGAAAATAAACAACTAAGCGCCTTCAATAATTATTTTTTCCAACATTTTCTTACCCTCGTTATATATTCCACCGTAATACACGCACATTCGTCGATTATTTCTTAAACATAATTATTATTGAAGTGCTATAGTGTAACACTACCTGTATTAACGTTTTATCAATCAAAACCTACCAGTCTGAATAAACTGCACGAAATAAATTCAAGTTCATGTACAGAAAGACACAAGGACATACGTATGAACATATACGTCTTTAATACAATATCATATGTAGATAGAAGAATATTCTAAAACCGGATTAAAATATGGCTCGACATTAAATTCTCTGCAATGGTAGTGCTCAAGTAATGGATGTAACCTTTATAATGATAATAATGATAAAGTATTATATATTTCAAATCAGAAACTAGTTAGACGCCACATAAATTGCTTTTGATGGCCCAGGTGGAAGCGCACATAGCACCAACAAAGGATAAAACTGGAGTTATTTCCCATTTACTAACGCGTGCAAGTCTTTGGTGATATTGGCCTACTATTAAATCCGTTTTATACTGATTTAAAAACTATGCATCTACAGAGAATACAAATGTAGATTTTATATAAACACTTATTGTCAAACTTTAAAAAATATATAGGGTTCTTAATAGGCAACACATTTCATCAAAATATTATTTCTAAATTAGAGCGTAAGGGTACAGTTATTCACTAGCTACTTCTCTCTTTAAAATGAATTAAGGGGGAGGGGGGCTACTTCGGAATTTTTGAAAATACTAGGTTTAAAACAGAATATTAAAGTGTCAAGGGATGGACATAAATGAACCAACATATCACAAAAAGAATGGAACGCATACTAGTTTGCCTTTGAAATCGTATATCATATGCATAGTCATATTTCATAACTAACAATATTACTTAAAAGATTGTCACTTTAGCATCATAATTACCTCCCGTGTCGAAATATTTGTATATACAAAGTCAAGAATGTATAAACTATGATACGCTCATTTTTTTCTTCATAGGATTGGGTGGCATTTATACAAGTTTTCTTTTACTAATCGGTATATCACATACATGTCACAACTTTTTGATGATATTTCATTTTACACAAATATTGTATACTGCCGTTACCAAAATCGCCCTGGTTAATTGCCAATAACATGTTCGTGTACTTCTGATATGGCGTCTGATTATTTCAGGCGGCCTTAGGTGTACCTGCATTGTAAGGTTAATCAATGTTGCATCTAGATGTTAATATCCGAAGCAAGTACTTGTGGTCGGGCAGGAGACCCCTAGGGCACATTCATTCTTGGAACGATGTTGATACTGTATTGCATCATATTATCTTAGGTATCTTATGTATCTCTTATATAAGATATCTTATGCAAGTTCATGCATCATTGAATCTGATGTATATACCCATTGCAATATTTGAGATATCTATATTTCTTTCTTCTATTAACTACCTTTTGTTTCCTAGTGCCTTGCTTGGCGATACTTATTTTTTAGATTTAGGCCAAATGTTTAACGTTCCCCCAGGTGAGGAAGGCCGGGACCTTACAAAGTCCTTAAAATGGTAGTTGTTATTCACTGTTTAAAGTTCAGCAATTCGTGAAACAGCAACAACTGGTTCACCCGTTGTTAGCATAATGTGATCAGGCAGGATGCTATGCTGAGAATTTTTTTCATAGTATTGCAGTGTGATAGTACTTTAAAGACGGCATCAGAACCGCGCTATCGTCAGGAAACAAATACACCAACATACCCTACATCCAGCACACATACACACAAACACGCATACATTACACACATGGAGACACGTCATGAAATGCCTTACCTGTTAATATAATAGACAAAACATAAAACTAACTAAAAGCACTAAACACTGGATCGATATTGAACCATGAGTGAATGTAAACTTGTCATAGACCCCATACCTATTCACGTTCAGCGGAGGTTGAATCCCTAGCCGGTCGTAAAAAGGTATGGAAACACCTGTGGGTTCTCCGGGTTCTCCAGTTTTATCCCTTGTTGGTGCTATGTGCGCTTCCACCTGGGCCATCAAAAGCAATTTATGTGGCGTCTAACTAGTTTCTGATTTGAAATATATAATACTTTATCATTATTATCATTATAAAGGTTACATCCATTACTTGAGCACTACCATTGCAGAGAATTTAATGTCGAGCCATATTTTCATCTGGTTTTAAAATATTCTTATATCTGCATATTATATTGTATTAAAGTCGTATATGTTCGTATGTCCTTGTGTCTTTTTGTACATAAACCTGTATATATTTCGAAAATCGTTTCCAAAGTAGTTATAAAATACAAATATCTGAACGCCCTAAAACAAGGGTGAAGTTTGACAATAACTATTTATAAAAAAATCTACATTTGTATTCTCTGTAGATGCATAGTTTTTAAATCGGTATAAAACGGATTTTTATTTGAAAAAACAACAACAAAAAACCCCGGATTTAATAGTAGTCC